GGAGGTGAGGCAGAGCGGGAGGCTGAGAGAGGACTCCAAAGGCGAGAGCTCTTGGGTTGCTTCAGAGCCTCCTGCCCAGCTTGATCCAGCCCGGTGTCCCTGACCTATCCCCAAGGTGGGGTGGCCCCATAAGAATGTGGTGAGAGAGCTACTGCAGAAGTCAGCTGGAGTCACCTTAGTGCTGAAGAAGGTCCCCGTGCCGGAGACCCCCCCACAGGTACTGCCCCCCGACCCTGCCCGAACCTGCTTTCAGACCCCTGTCATCAGCTGCATCACCCTGTTTCTGGTTGTTCCCCAGACCTCTCCTCAAGCCCTGGGCTCCCCACAGCTGAGGATCTCATCGCTGGCTCTGGCCCCACTGTCTCCTAGGTAACAGGCTCTGTACTGGGTGCATCTTGGTGGGGGAGCCATGGGCTCATCTCATCTCCCTTTGCTGTCCCCAGGACCCCGTCTGAAGACGTCTTTGCCTTCAACTTGACCTCAGATCCAAGTCCTGGACCCAGCCCTGCCTGGACAGGCAGTTTCCAAGCCCCACCAGGTGGCGGGTTACCCGGGCAAAGCATGTGGGGTGCCTGGCTCTGACCCTCAGATGCTGACCCCCTCACTGACCTCTGGGCCTGGGGCTGGCCTCATGGGACCTCCTTTCTCTCCTCCCTCCCTGACAGACTCTTCCTCCCTTGACTCTGAGCCCTTGCTCATCCCCCCTGCATCCCCAGCCACACTCCTAGCAGGGGTTGCAGAGACTCCGAAGCCCCCAGAAGACCCTGACGAGGTAAGCTCAGGGCCTCAGCAAGGAGGAGTATGTGGCTCTCGACCCAGGCCTTCTCTAACCTCTGTGGTCCTTTCAGAGTCCTGTCCCTGGTCGGAAGAAATCAAAAGGTATGAGATGCATCTGACTGGTGAGGGTCCCCCAATATGAGGAGCTCTTAGAAGTCTTTAGAGTGCTGGGCAAGACCACCCCACACACACTTCATCCACAGCCTCTCCTGGAAACAGCTCTGTTTCTGGGGTCAGACAGATCTGTGCTCCCACCCTGGGCCTCTCTCTAGCTATGTGACTTGCGCAAACAGCTCATCCTCTGATCTTCCACTTCTTCATCTCTAAAATGGGAAGAATCATCACCCTCAGAGATGATACTTGTAACATTCTGAGCACAAAGTATGAGTTCAAAACACCGGCTTGGAGATGCTCCTGAGGGGCACGGGAGCGAGGCTGGGGGTCTGGGACGCCTTGCCAGCCCCTCACCAACTGGGCCATGCTGTGCTGCTGCAGGTGTGGCGACGCGGCTGAGCCGCCGGCGGGTGTCATGCCGGGAGCTGGGCCAGCCAGACTGCGACGGCTGGCTCCTGCTGCGCAAGGTACCCGGCGGCTTCATGGGCCCACGCTGGCGCCGCTGCTGGTTTGTGCTTAAGGGACACAAGCTCTACTGGTACCGACAGCCCCAGGTGAGACCCCGTACACAAACACAGGTAAGCAAGTGAGTCAGAGCCACGGTTCTTGTCCCTCTTCCACCATCCACTCCCATCTGTGGTCACAGGCCCTCCTGAGCCCCAGTGTTCCCATCTGTAAAATGAGGGCACTCTTCAGAGAGGAATGAGCTAAAAGGTGTGTAAAAGCAGTCTGGAAAAGGTATCAGAGGCCATGTAGAGAGAATCAATTTTATTCTGCCCACCTTTCCTTCCTTTTCCGTCCATCCTGGTGATGGGACATTTGTTCAACTGTTTATTCATTCAACAAACATTCAGGTGCCTACTCTGTACTCAACTCCGGGCTGTGCACTGGGGATACCAGGAAGACTTGGACAGTTCTTGCTGCTCCAGGCTGGTAGGGGACAGGATGAATACACACTTGTAGACAGTGTGAGCAACACGTGTTAGGATGAAGGAAAAGCCCAGGGGGTGGGTGGGAGCCCAGCAGAGGTGGCCAGTCCAGCCTGAGGAGTCACAAAGGCTTCCTGAGAAATCACTGCCTTGGGGTTAGTCAAATAGAAAAGGGAAGCAAGACGAGGAAAGGCAAGTGTTTGCAAAGCTCAGTGGTGTGAAGCAGCTTCATCTGTGTCTGTTGATGGAACAAATGCAGAGCAGGCTTCTCTTTTGTGGCTGTTTCTCTGGATATCTTTGGCTCCCCTTTCCTGGCTCAAAGGTACCCCTCGGTTACACCCTCTGCCCCGACCCCAGATTCCTGCCCTGAGCTCTGGGCACTGAGAGATTTCTGGCTAGAGAGCCCAGGAGATGCCCTCTTCCCGCCCCTGCCCTCAGGAGCCTGACCAGGCCTCGAGGCTTTTGGGGCCTCATGCTGACCTCCACACTGTGATTCCCCCAGGATGAGAAGGCTGAGGGCCTCATCAACGTCTCCAACTACAGTCTGGAAAGTGGACAGGATCAGAAGAAGAAATAGTTAAGTCCGGGAGTGTGACAGGCTAGGGGGCGGGGAGAGAAAGGGAGAGGTAAGGTGACAGGAGGGGCGGGGTGGGGGCAGCAGGTGGCTGGGATTCCCAGGCTAGCCTCTCTGCGTTCTGGATGGGCACACCCAGGCTGAATGAGGCCCTCTGTTCCCTGGCAGTGTGTTCCAGCTCACCCATGACGTGTACAAACCCTTCATCTTCGCTGCTGATACCCTGGCGGATCTGAGCATGTGAGTGCCACCCCCCACCTCCCAGCTCCCACGTGAGTGCTTGGGAGCCTGGGCTCAGGAGCCTGGGTTCAAATCCCAGCTCTCTGATAGTGGTTTGTCAAGGCATTCACTTCTCTAAGCCTCAGTTTCATCATCTATAAAATGGGCTAATAAGAGTTCCTACCTCTCAGAGTTGCTCTGAGGATTGTTAGAAGATGATATAGGTGGAAAGTCCCTGGCAGACAGTAGATGGGAACTCTCTGAGACCCATCTGCCCCTCCACAGGTGGGTACGCCATCTCATTACCTGCATTTCCAAGTACCAGTCTCCAGGCCGGGCCCCCCTACCCCAAGAGGAAGGTGAGTGTCTCACAGGGCGGGATCTCACCTGAGCCTCTGCCTTTCCTGAGGTGGGAGCTGGGCACTCAAATGCCCTAGCCCACTCCTTGGCCTCCCAAAACCCCATGAAGCTTAGTGAGTTCCCCAACTGCTCCTGTCACCCCAGACTGCTACAGTGAGACAGAAGCAGAAGACCCTGACGACGAGGCTGGGTCCCGCTCAGCCTCGGTGAGTAGGGGACTGGTGGGGGGTGAGCAGCAGAGCTTGGAGCTCAGACTGATACCCTCTTCTCCTTCCACCCTGCCTGCAGCCCAGCCTGGCCCACACTTGCAGTCCACTCCATGGAGACACATCACCTGCAGCCACCCCCACGCGGGGCAGCCCACGGACCTCCTTTGGCTCCCTGACAGGTGCTGTGCTGGGCTTGGGAGCTGTGATGGGGGGCTGCTGGCTGGGACGGTACACCTTCATCCTGCTCCCCCCTCCCACAGACAGCAGTGAAGGGGCACTGGAAGGAATGGTACGGGGGCTGAGGCAGGGTGGCGTGTCCCTCCTGGGCCGGCTACAGCCCCTCACTCATGAACAATGGCGGAGCTCTTTCATGCGGCGCAACCGAGACCCCCAGCTCAATGAGCGAGTGCACCGGGTGCGGGCGCTCCAGAGCACACTCAAGGTCAGCCAGAGGGCACTGGGCATGGCAAGGGACTGGCCCTCACCTCTGGGCTCAGCTGTGGACTGGGCCAAGTTCTGGGTTCCCAGAGCCAGGCTCTGGATCTAGAGATCAGGGCTGGACTGGGCCAGGTGCTGGGGTTCTAGGCACTGAACTCCAGAGTTAGCTCTTGGCTCAGGCTCCACCCTCTCCCCAGGTGATCATGGTCCCTTAGCCCTATTCCTCTTACAGGCAAAGCTGCAGGAGCTGCAGGCCCTGGAGGAGGTGCTAGGTGACCCCGAGCTGACTGGAGAGAAGTTCCGACAGTGGAAGGAACAGAACCAGGAGCTCTACTCAGAGGGCCTGGAGGCCTGGGGAGTGGTGCAGGCTGAGGGCAGCTCCCCAGTCCTGACCTCTGACTCCAGAGAACAGTCTTCCCACCCCCTGCCCTCTGACCCTGAGGAGCACTCCCATCTCTGCCCCCTGACCCCAGAGAGCAACCTCCAACCTCCTGACCTCTGACCCTGGCCAGTACCCTAGCTCTTGACCTCTGGTCTTGAGGACCACCTCAGTCCCCAGCCTCTGACATGTGTAGGGCAGAGCATCCCTGGATTCTGCTCAAGGTTGAAATAGTGCTAGTCCATGTCACCCCAAGCTGATCCCCTCTGCCCGCGCTGCCACCCTTTCTGCTCCTCTCTCCCTGGAGTGGGGCGAAGTGAAGTGAGCTTTGTGCCACCCTTTCCTCCCTCGCCAAGGAAGGAGCAGGAGGCTGGGCTGAAAGAAACTCTCTCCCACCCCATCCTCTGACCTGTGGGAGCACAGACCTGCCGCCCTCAGTCCCTTGGCACTTCTCCCTTCCCCAAACCAGTCTGTACAGGCATTCTTCACTTTACACAAGAGACACTTTTCAACCAAATAAAGTCAGTTTCTATAACATGAATCTACGCGTGCCTTTGATTCCCATATTAGAATCAGGAATCTGCTCCCCAGGGGGACTGGGATGAAAAGCTGTCAGATGGGAGTGAACGCTCTCGATAACCAGCCCACTGCGAGGTCCATTGGCCTGGGCCCTGCACCTGAAGCTCCACGCCTGCCAGGATGATGGATGCTGATCCATGGCTAGTGAGGGCTTCTACTCATGCACATCTCTCCCCAGCCCTTTGGAGACCAGAGGATGCTCTCCTGCCCCATGCCCAGGGGGAACAAAGTAAGAAATAGAGACCAGCCTTTCACTTTATAGATGGGTAACATACCTTGCATGGAAGGGCAGGGTGAGCAGCCCTGGAGACTGGGGTGGTGGGATGGGGCAGTCGGTAGGGTGGGTACAGGTTGTGATCTGCCAGGAGGAGGGGCTTGGGAGGAAACACCTTTCTCCTCTTCCCTCCTTAGCCTTGTCTCACCTTCAACTCCTGGACCCAGAGCAGAGACACGCTCCTGTGTCTCCATCCATGCTGCACAGGAGACGACCTGCTCCCATCAGCCTCTGACTTCTGACCCCAGCCCAGCCCTTTCCTGTCCCTAGCTTCCTCTGTGGAGTGCAGAAGGGGGTCAGTGGGAGGAGCTTTTCTTGGGATTGGAATTCCTTGGTGGAATGCAGACAGTTTAAGGTCACAGAGGCCTCTATGATATCACCACGAGAGGGAGCAAGACCGCTTGGAATGAAGTTTCTTTGAAAAGTGGTAGGAGACTGAGCAACGATGACCGAGAACCAGAAGATCTGGTGGCAGTATTGGACTGACATCACCAATATCAAGCCTTTGAATGTCATGGTAGGTGGCCCCTGCCTGGTGTCACCACTCGAGCTGAGCATCCCAGGGTGAGGGGAGGCACAGGAGGACTGTACTGGGTCTGGAGGGGCACTGGCTGCATTGCTGGACCCTCTGCTCACCCTTGCAGAGGGTCCCTCACGAGCCCTACGTACGACCAGAGGAGCAGGTGCTCATCAACCGCCGAGACATCACTCCTACGAAGGTAAGAATGAGGTGGGGCTACAGGGATCCTCGCCCCACAGTGACCCTTCTGCTGCTGTGCCCATGGGGCAACAGGCCCTCATAATCACTCTGCCCCTTCTGACTTCTAAACGTCCCCCAACAGGACCCTCCCCAGCAGTGAGCCCTGCAGTGACTCCCTGTGATATGTTACTAACCGCCTGGCAGAGCCCCCCACAGGAACCCCTATATAGTGACACTCACCAGCAGAGACTCCAAAAGTCTCCCTTGCAAAGAGCCCCACAAAGATCCCCCAGCAGTGATGGACTTTTAGTGGCCATTTAGGTAGTGACCTCTACACTGATGCCCCATTCCATGATTCCCTCTCAGGCAACTTCTCCACCCAGAGTGTCCCCCTCCTCCCAGGGATGGGACCCCCATTCACCAAGAGCAAACATCCAGGCAGAGGCCTCGTACAGTGACACCTGCCTAAAGGACGATCCCCCGCCCTCCCCTAGGATGCCTGGGACATGCAGGAGTTCATCACGCGCATGTATATCAAGCAGCTGCTCCGACACCCGGCCTTCCAGCTGCTGCTGGCCACGCTGCTGCTGGTCAACGCCATCACGATTGCGCTCCGCACCAACTCCTTCCTTGGCCAGGTGGGACATCAGCCTGACCTCTGCCCCCACTGATCGAAGTCGAGGGCCTGGGGCAAGGTACTTCCCTCTCTGGGCCTCAGGCTCCTCATCAGTCCATGATGGTTGGATTGGATGCTCTTCAAGGGCCTATCAGCTCTGACCTTCCAGGGGTCTAGAGATCATGGAAGACTTCATGGTGGAAGGGCCCAGCTTTGAGGAATGCATTGGATTTGTAGAGGACGGGCAGGAGAAAAATGGTGTGAGCAGAGGCAGGCAAATGGGCACCTCGTGGGGAAGGTATTCCATTTTACCCAGTAGTTGCTAGGCAAGAATCACACTGGGCCAGGTACTGTGTTCGGTGCCAGGTGTCCAGGTATGAACACAACAGACCAAGTTCTGTCTCAGCCAGACACAAGCATGTCATTACAAATGCCTGTGTGTCACACAGAGTACATGGGAGCTCCAAGGAGGCATTGAACCTAATCTGGGTGGTCAGGGCGGACTTCCTGGAGAAACGGACACTGAAGGTGAGAGAAAAGAATGAGTAGGAGTTGGCCAGGCACAGAGAGGTGGGGAAGAGTATTTTGGGCAGACGAACAGCATTTGAGTGAGTTCTGTATGTCCAACTTGAAGTCTAGTATGTCTTTGGTCTTATCCTTGATGTTGTCTCTTATAAGGAGTAAACTACATACATGAATTGTGCTATTTAAAATCAATATTTTAAAAACATCTGGGATGGCAGCTGATGCATTCAGAGAGGTGGTCAGCAGCCAGATCACACGGGGTCTTTAAGTTATGTTAAGGAGGATGGCCTTTATCCTATGTCATTGGAAATCCAGGGAAAGGTTTAAAGTATGGAAGTGACAAGACTGGACACATGTTTTAGAAAACTTAAACTGCATGTAAGACAGAGGCCAAGAGTAGGGGAAGAGTGGCCAGGCAGGGCCATGTTGCGCACGCTCAGGTAAAAGATGATCAGACTTGGACCAGGACGATGGCAGTGGGTGAAAAGAGGTCACATTCACTTGAAGCTCTCTAGAGTGAGATCCATAGCCTTCTTGAGTGATTCTCTTTATAGCGAACACTCAGTAATCTCTTATTGTGTGCTCCATTGTTTAATATACGTCATCATCTCACGCATGTAGAGAAAGGGAGAACAAGAAGTTACGTTTCTGGCTTGAGCAACTGTGTGGAGATGGTGCTGTTGTAGGGACATGGGGATGAAGGAGGAAGAGCAGGTTTAGGGGGATGATGAGGTCAGTTTGACTTGTGTAGTGTTTGACGTGCCCATGCAGTATCCACATAGCGATGTCAAGTGGGGAGTTGGCGGTCAAATCTGAAATGTTGCAGAGAGCTCTGAGATGGAGATGGCCCTGTGAGAGTTGCCAGCATCTAGGTGGTTGGTTGCTGAAGCTAAAGGAATGGATGAGGTTGCCTGGGGAGAGAACACTGAGTGAGAAGAGAAGAGGACCAAGACAGAACTCTGAGGAGAGCCTTCAAGTAAAGGGCGGAAAACAGAGGAGGAGATGCAAAGGAAGACTGAGGAGGCATGTCAGAGGAGTGGGAGGGAACCGAGAAGAGTGTCCCATCAAGGGAGCAGGCACAGGATCAGATGTAGCCAAGAGATGAGGCAGGATAAGGACATTGAAGCATCCTCTGGATTTTTAGAATCGGCGTTTCAGCCACCTTTGTATGAGAGGTTCGCGGTTCGCCGTAAGAGCGCTGTGGAAAGCGAGTTCTTTCTCAGTTTCCTAAAGAGCTGGAAGCAAAATGGTTTGTGGCTTGTGTCCCATTGAGGGATGGAGGCATCTCGTGACTTGACAAGAGCTGCCTCAGATGTGGTGGAGGCAGAAGCCCAATCGCCAAGGTTTGCAGAATGACTAGACTGCAGGGCACACTGCAACCCAACAATGGACCATGAAATTAGTTCAGAGTGCAGATACCAGCATTTTGATATGAAAAAAGAGTGAAATAGAAATAGTGTGTCTGTGCATATGTGTGTGTGAGAGAGAGAGGGGAGAAATAACATTATGGTATAAAATAAAATGTAAAATATATTTCTTACTATGGGTCCCAGTCAAAATGCTAAAAGCCCCGGTATAGGATATATGTCCAGGAATGTCAAACCCTAGAGGCCTGTGAATGCCAGACTGGTTTTAAACCTTACCCTGCAGGCCATAGGGAGCCATGGAAGGCTTGTGGGTGGGGAAGGCAACTCTGGTTTAGCCACAGATGCCCATGAATTGGAGAAGGCAGCAGACTATTTAGGAAGCTCTTTGAAAATAGTGAGGAGGGCCTGTTGCCTCCAGTGGCCAGAAGGGCACAGCTGAGGGGACAGATGAGGGGAAAGAAAGCTCTTTCTTATTATAAGCAGACATCCCTGGTCCAATGACAGCCCTTTGGGAATTTGGAATGAGCAGGAATCTCATAAACCTTAACTTCCCACCTGGGTTTAAGAAGCTCTGCCCAGCCTCACATAGGCTGGTGGCTGGGGTGGTGGCAAGGTGTGGGTAGCAAGAGGCCCCCATGTGTAGCAGCGAGCCTTGGGGCACTGAGTCTATTGTCCATGCAGGTGAAGAAAGGCAGGAGTCAAGGTGACTTCAGTAACTGCCAGGTTGGAGTCGGGGGGCCGAGAGATGCTAATGGGGTCACAGACTACAGCAGTGTCACAGCTTAATGGAAGCTAAGGGAGTACCATCTAGGTTAGGTGAAATTGAGTTGGGTTTTGGGCAGATTCAAGTCATTCATCTGTCAATCCATCCACCCAAAGTCCATGTCCTGGAGTCATGAATGGGGAGATACCCAGGGGTTTGGTCAGGCCTGACCAGGGGGATTCAGAGAGCTGGAGCAGCAGGAGTGGTTGGGACCCTCAGAGAAGACAGGCTGCAGCTTGGTGTCCTCCATCTCAGGGGCCACGGCTTTTCCTCCCAGTCCTGGAGCTTGTTCTACCCCTCCCCCACCTCCTTTTTCCAAATATCCTTATTCTAGAGGTTAGGAGCCAAGGTTTGTAGTCAGACAACAGTCTTTATCAACTAACTGTCTGACTGTGGGCACCCCTCTGATTCTTCATCTGTAAAATAGGAGTAAAACCTACTTTGTAGGACAGTGGTGATGGCAGGATGAAATGGTGCGTGTGTGGTGTTAGCCCAGTGCCTGGCATGTACATGGCAGGTGTGCTCTAAGGGAGCGACAGAGATGCTGAAGATGAAGAACAGCGGGAATACGGGCCTTCCCTCCCCGGCAGACATCCTCTCTCCCTGGTCTCGCCCAGGCCCTGCTCCACTGACCTCTCTGTCCCTCTCTTTTCTCTGTCTTCCATGTAGAAACACTATGAGTTGTTCTCTACCATAGATGACATTGTGCTGACCATCCTTATCTGTGAGCTGTTCCTCGGCTGGTTAAATGGCTTCTGGATTTTCTGGAAGGTGAGATCTTGGGCCCTCCCCACCACGGCCCCTACTCCTCCTTAGGGACTGCACCCCATCCAGTCCCCGCCCTTGTGCTCTTGGCCTTGCAAACTGAGGGGTTTGTGTGTGCACGTGTGTGTGCGCGTGCGTAGAGATAGAGACTGACTACTTCTGAGATGTCTGTGATGCAACAGAACGTAACTGGTACTCGAAGTGCAGCCTCCCTGGTTCCAGTTCCTGCTCCAGCCTTCCCCACTTCTGTGATCTTGGGAAAACCTTGATTTCTTTATCTGAAAAATGGGATTGAGAGTATCTACCTTAATTTATTGGGTTCAAGAGCAGGGGGTCTACAAATTTTTTCTGTAAAGGGCCAGAATATTATTTTAAGCTTTGTGGGCCATACAGTCTCCGTTGCAAACACTCACCTCCGCTGTGGGAGCACAAAAGCAGCTGTAGATAGCACACAGACGAATGAGCATGGCTGTGTTCCAAATAAACTGTATTCATGGACATTGAAATTTGAACCTCATGTAATTTTCACGTCACAAAAATATTCTTCTTTTGATTTATTCCCTACAATCTTTTTTTTTTAGATTGGCACCTGAGCTAACATCTTTTTTTCTTCTTCTTCTCCCCAAAGCCCCAAGCCCCTCCCCCCGCCCCCATCCTGTGCATAGTTGTACCTTCTAGTTGTAGGTCCTTCTGGCTCTGCTGTGGGGGACGCAGCCTCAGCATGGCTCAATGAACAGCACTAGGTCTGCCCAGGATCTGAACCTGCAAAACTCTGGGACGCTGAAGCAGAGCGCATGAACTTAACCACTCGACCACCGGGCCAGCCCCCTACAACCTTATAAAAATATAAAAATCATTCCTAGTCTGAGGGTCCTACAAAAAAAAAGGGCTGCTGGCCAGATCTGGCCCCCAGGCTGTAGTGTGCTGACCCCTGTTCTGGAGAGTATCAAAGAGTTGTTTGGGTGGGAATGGGTCTTAAAGTTACATTAAATGAGACAAAGACTAAAACTCTTTGTTTGAATAGGACTTCTGGAGTCAAGGGATTTATTTTGTACAAGAAGAGGCTTTGAAAAAAAAAAAAAATGTATTAAAAAAAACCTGGGCCGGCTGCGGTGGCACAGCGGTTGAGTGCACACGTTCCACTTCAGTGGCCCGGGGTTTACCAGTTTGGATCCCGGATGCAGACATGGCACTGCTTGGCAAGCCATGCTGTGGTAGGCGTCCCACATAGAAAGTAGAGGAAGATGGGCACGGATGTTAGCTCAGGGCTAATCTTCCTCAAAAACAAACAACAAGAACCACAACAAACCTTCATAAAAACAAAGTATTATTTAAATACCATTACCAGGACAACCGATTAGAGTTACAAGCTTTCCAGGGGTTACAGGTTTCACTTCATAGAACAAAGAATGTAGAACCTAGAACAAAAATTCTGAGATCTGGATGTCTTAAAAACTGCTTTGTGCAGACAACACTTGCAAGGATGTTTATTAACAAATTAGACTGGGATGGTGCATATTTACATGTCTCTACACTCAAGAAGAAAGTAGGTACCATGATTTTTATGAACATTTCAATATACCACTTTATCAGAACTAGCTCCAGGATGCCAGCAGACATCTGTTCCCTAAGAAGGAACATTCCTCCTTCATATCTTCCTGAGATTCCTTTCAGCAGCAGTTAGAAGGGCCTGCATTTTCAAGGGACCTGCACTTTCAAGGTTAAGCCCCAGAGTTCCTTTAGCACAACAGAACTGAAGCAAGCCTAAGAATCTCGTGTTCCTCCAAGGCACTCTGCTTGTCCGCTAAACCAGGGTTTCTCAACCTTAACACTTGACATTTTGGCCTGGATAATCTTTTGTTGTGGGGGACTGTCCTTCGAATTGTAGGATGTTTAGCAGCATTCCTGGCCTCTACCCACTAGATTCCATTAGGACCTTCATAGTTGTGACAACCAAGAGTGTCCCCAGACATTGCCAAATGTCCCCTGGAGGGCAAAATTACCCCTGGCTGAGCACTAATGTCCCAAAACCTAACCTTCATGTGGGGCCAGGCTCCCAAGGCCAAAAGCCGGGGCTTATTACAGGCTGCTTCTGCCTCCTCCTCCCCCACCCCCATCCCTTCCCCAGTCCTGGGGCACAAAGCCTGCTCTTTGTTGAATGGATGTGGGGGAGGGGAGGGGACGGAAAGGGAAAATGCTGAGAAGGGAGGAAAGTCTGTAAATTAATACCTTAAATATTACCCAGCCACACAGAGATCCCCGAAGTTTTGTGCTCAGCTCTCCCTTTTCTACTGCCCTCACGTGGCTCCACCCTCCTCCTCATCTCCACAGCCTATTTATCACTATTTCACCACCTAAATATTTCTCAAATTTCTTGCCGCCTCTGCATCTCTGCCACCCCTGTTCTAGCTCTTGCTGTGTCTTCTCTCACCAGGATGTTTATATGGCTTCCTGTGTCCCCCACCTGCCATCAAAGTAACCTTCCCCAGGCACAAGACAATGCATCCTTAAAAAACTCCAGTGGCTCCCTGTTGTTTATAGGATTAGGTCTAAATGCCTTATTGTGCTTAACTAAGGCCTTCCATGATGTGATCCTTGCTTATTTTTGCAGCCTCATCACTCCTGGCCTTACCCTTTGTGTTCCAGCTACACCAAACAGCTTGTAGTTGCATTCACATTCACACACACACACACACACACACACACACACACACGCACGCACGCACGCACTGCTGTTCTCACCTCTATACCCTCGACCATGCTGACCCCTAGTCTACTCTAGCTGCCTGCCACTTATTCACTTGCTTTAGTTCTCTTTACAGCTTAAGACTCATTCAGATGTCTTCTCTTCCAGGAAGTCTTCCTGTCTCTCCCGGGCTCCGTTAGGTGTTGCTCTGTGTCTCCCTAATACTGCGTGCTTCTCTCTCTCATGTGCAGTTAAAGTTCACTGTTTATCCACCTCCCTCAAAATAGTCTGTGAGCCCAGCAGGGCAGAAATCCTGTATCCTCAGGATCCAGTTCAGGATCTGGCATACAGTAGGAGCTTAGTACTGGATGGATAGAGAGACGGATCTGCAGACAGGCAGACTCATATCCCCGTGTGTACGTGTAGACAGACTCTCTGAATTGGGACACCAGGAGGGCTTGTGTTTATTGGACTGCCCAACAAATTTAAGAACACTTTTTCCATTAAAAAGTTTTCTTTTTTAAGTATTTAATTGCAGGTACATATTGGTCACAACTATATTGAAACGTACACACAGAATTCTTGCTTCCACTCCTGTCGCCTTCATCCCTTCCCCTCCCCCTACTCTCTCTAGGTAATCTTTGTGTATTTATAGTCTCTTGTTTATCCTCCTAGCGTTTATTTTGCAATCATAAGCAAATATGTATATATTTTTAGTCCTCCCTTCCTAACAGTGGCTTCCTACAACCACTGTTCTGCACTTTGCTTTTGTCACTTAATGGATGCTGGCAACCTTTCTATGTCGCTGCATGGAGGTCTTTCTCATTTTCCTTTTTAAGGCTACACAATACTCTATTGAATGAATGTGCCGTAGTTTATTCAACCAGTGTCCAATTGCTCCACACTTGGTTGCTTTCAACCTTAAACAAATGTCATTTTGTACTTGCACCAGAGTTTCTGTGGGTCAGATTTCTAGAAGTAGGCTCACTGGTCAAAAAGTCAATGCATCTATTGTTTCTTAGATAGAGTAAATTCCCCTCTTTAGTGGTTATGCTTGAATTTATCATACATGTGAGCTTCCTTCCCCTATCCTAACTCCTATATGAGTCTGTCTTATTGGACAAAGGGCCTGTAAAAATTTGCCTGTCTCTCTCTCTCGTACAGTATGAGCTTGTTCACCTCTGAGCTGGCTACTTAAGCAGCGTTCCTTAATGTTTTCATTAGTATTTTCATTTTATTATTATTTGTAGTGTGTATCACACAAAGGCTGGAGCATCCAAACACTCTCAGACCACCTAACTGTAGGGCAAGGCCATTATCAGCAGTGCAGTAGCCAAGGTAGGCCCCGGCTTAGGAACTAGCTGAGTATATGTGAGAGTCTCTGCTGTGTGCCTCCGAGACTGCACTTGGCTGTTGACACATGTATGAGAGAGCGAGTGCATGTGTGTTTGGTGGCATGTTTAGGCGGGCAGCAGGATGAGTAACAGCAGGGGATGGCAGATGACTGGCCGTGCTCTGAGAGGAATATTGAGCCCCCATCCCTGGGGTGTGGGGAGGGCAGACCCAGGATGTTCCCGTGGGCTGGGCCTGACAGACCCTGCTGGGGCTGGCCCACCCCCCAGGACGGCTGGAACATCCTCAACTTCATTATCATCTTTATCTTGCTCGTGGGGTTCTTCATTAATAAACTCAGTGTCATCGCTATCACCTACACCCTCAGGTGAGCTGGGGACTCTGGAGAAAAGAGGGGGACCTGTCTGGACCCTGGGAAAGAGATGGAGGGATTGTTACTGGGTGGGGATCAGCTCTGCCTATCTGGGCAGGTGAGGGGGCAGTGAGGAGGAGGATCTGGGAAGGGCTGAGGGGCACCCCTGAGAGGCTCTGCCACAGGGTGCTTCGTCTGGTGCATGTGTGCATGGCGGTGGAGCCTCTGGCCCGGATCATCCGCGTCATCCTGCAGTCGGTACCCGACATGGCCAATATCATGGCTCTCATCCTCTTCTTCATGCTGGTCAGTGCCCCCCCCCCACCCTCACAGGCCCCTTCCCTGAACAGGCCCCTGGGTGACTGGGGATACAAGAGTGTCTGGAGAAGAGAAGCCTATGGGCCTGAATCCCTGTGATTCCCTTGGCAGCATTCATTTGCGTGGTATTTGCATGTCCTGTCTCCAAGGCCCTTGCGTGAAGTCCGGGTGGTCTTCGGTCTCTCTGGCAGGTCTTCTCTGTGTTTGGGGTCACTCTCTTTGGTGCTTTCGTGCCTATGCATTTCCAGAACATGCAGGTTGCCCTGTACACCCTCTTCATCTGCATCACCCAGGATGGCTGGGTGGACATCTACAATAACTTTCAGTGAGTGCCTGTGGGACTTCCAGGCCCCCAGACTGGCCCAGCCCAGCAGGGCAGCGGCTTGGGTTCCCACGGGGCAAGACACTGACTGGGGAGGGAGAAGGGCTCTCAGCAGGAGTTCGGCTCCAGGGCTTGGGATGAGGATGGCTCAGCAGGAGGGGGGTGCCCGGGGCTTTAAACTGGGGGAGAAGGAGACCCCTGGGGCTGGGGGCCTCTGGGTTTGTGGTCTGCTTGAAGCCTTGTCCTCCTTGAAACTCCACTCTTCAAAGTCCACCCCCCCACCCCCCACAGGCCTGTTCATGATTTCTCCCATCATGCTAAACAGCTGGGTAATGAGGCCTTGGGCAAGGGAGCCGGTCTGCAGTTGCACCTGGGTTCCAGGGCAACCTCCCAGCCCACACTGGAGCTCACCAAACTGCCTGGACTCCTGGGAACTTAGGGTCTCATTTAATTCATTCTTAGACCCACTGCCCAAGGTCATTTTTTACCTCTTTCCCATTAAGTCTAAAGCCTATTTGTTTCTAGTCCATTCCAGGGAGTGGATCCCCCTGACTGATTATTTTTAATCCCCTTCATGTGAGAGTAGAGAGATTTCTTTTTATTCCCTTCATGCCAGATGGTAAAGGGCTTCTGCAGTCATTATCCATCATGATGTAGGCAGTGGAAAAATCATAAAGTGTGCAATAAAGGTGGGCTGCGCTTTCAAGTCTGCTCCACTACACTAGCCATGCAACCTTGGGCAAGTTACTTCATCTCTCTTCCGAGCCTCACAACTAGAATATACAACTATGTACTCAGGGCGAATCTTTCCTAGCAAAAAAAGAGAAAAACATGAATAAAGAGTATCACCAATAGATTAAACTTCATAATGCTGATGTACAAATCCCCACCTTGAGGGCTGGCTTGAGGACTGCCACTGCTGGCAGTACAGCAGGTGCTCAGGAAAGAGCAGCTGCTGTGACAGTTAGGAGTTAGGTATTAGATCTGCACAACAGCAGGGAAGAGCAGAAGTCCCAGTAGGCCTTGAGATAATTTCCCCATTTCATAGATGAGGAAACTGAGGCCCAAAGGGCCAGGGAGGTGATGGGACCCCTGCCTGCCATCTCCAGGATGGAGACGAGGGAGTACGCAATGGAGATTGGGGGTGCCATCTACTTTGCCATCTTCATCACAATTGGTGCCTTCATTGGTGTCAACCTCTTGGTTGTCGTGGTGACCACCAATCTGGAGCAAATGATGAAGGCAGGAGAGGTGGGCCAACAGCATCAAGTAACTTTCAGTAAGGTGAGTGGGATGGGGAGGGCAGAAGGGAGGAGAGGGAGTGTGTGCATGAGTGCTGACTTGAGCATATGTGTATGTGTGTGTGTGCTTGCACACTCAAGGGCCTGGAGAAAGCCAAGCCTGAGACCGGGAGGCAGCATCCCCCACCTTGAGTGCCAACTCACCAATTGGAGCTTCTGAGGGAGGGTGGATTTCCTAGATGTCTTGTTTCTATGGCAACTCAAAGCTGAGCAGCTGGGTGACCATAGGGCATGTAACCTATCGAAGCCTCAATTTCTTCTTCCGTAAAATGAGAATAATAATAGCACTTACCTCAAGGGCTATTATGAGAATTACACGGGTAAATGAACCATCCTGGCACATACTAAGAACAACAAATGTTAGCTACAGTACCATTCATTGGGGGTAGAACTTCCAAAAGGGTAGGGGTGGGGCGGGAGGAGTACTTCCCAAAGTGTTGAGGGCTGTGGGCTGTGACTTGAGAGTAGACAGAGCTTTAGAAGCTTGCTGGATAGGAGTTATCAGGAGTGAAATGAGGGGAGGAGGGGCTGAGTTTTGAAAAGGACTGAGAATTTCCAAAGAGGTGGGAGAAGGGCTTGTGCATTTGAAGTTGAGCTCCCACAGCAAGGTAGAGAGGCTAAGATTGGTTGGAGTTAAATGAGGGGCATTAGAACCCCGGTGTCCTAAGACATTCATCCTCCCTGAAGCCAAGCAGGAAGCGGCTGGAGGAGGGGTGCCGGCTGAGCTGTCCATCCCCTCTCTGTGTCCCCATTCCCAGACAGGCGACGAGGAGAAGGACGGGAATAACGAGCTGCCACTGGTGCACTGTGTGGTCGCCCGTTTGGAAATGTCTGGCCTCCCCCAGGAGCCGCTTATGGGGGGCCCCCTGCCGAACCTCTCGGAAAACACATGTGATAACTTTTGCTTGGTGCTCGAGGCAATACAGGAGAACTTGATGCAGTACAAGGAGATCCGAGAGGAGCTCAACACGTAGGGCGGGTACTGGGGGTACCGCCGAGTCCCGTGAGTCAGGGCTGAGCGGAGCCTCAGATTCTTCTGGCCTCACACCCTCACCATTTTATAATGCGGGGCCCAGACAGGTTAAGTGACTCGCTCAAGGTCCCCCAGCCTGTTGGTGGAGGAGCTGGAATCCAGACCTCCAGGGTCTTCCCATCTCACACTACGGAGCGCACAGCTCAGCCTGGGTCTCTAGTACAGTCAAGCGGGAGGGTGAAGAGGGGCGGACAGCAGGGAAGAGGTGGGAGGGCTACCCCATTCCCCTCCCCCTGTGCCCCGTCCCCTGGAACGCACTCACCCCTCCGCCTTCAGGATAGTGGACGAAGTACGCTCCATCCGCTTCAACCAGGAGCAGGAGGAGGAGCTGCTGCAAAAGCACTTGTCGCTGAGCCCGTCCATGGACAGCGGGTCCTCCCTGGACATCCGTGAAGTGACTTTCCAGCAAGACTTGATCACCGCACTCGTCACCAGGGAAAAGGTGCAGCTTCCGTCTCCTACCCAATCAGTGCTCACTCCGCCACCCAGCCTACCCCTAGATTCCCACGCACCCCAGCGGTCGCCGCCAATGCGGTTAGGTTCCACCATTTCCTTCTCCGAGAGGCCCCGCCCCCTCCTGTCAGGTTCCGCCCATTGAGTCGCTTCTGTTTCTGGCTCTCTCAAACCTACGCTTTCTCAGTGTGGTGTGAGCCAGCTCAGTTCCTGTTTAGTGGCAGATACTTAGGCTCACTGGTGGCAGAAGACCCCTGGGTCCTGTCTAGGGTGCATAAGAGCAGCCTCCTCCTGAGGGAGGAAGCTTCTAAGGAGAAAAATGGACGCTCACATTCGTGTCTGCTTCCCACACCATCTGACCGGAGTAGAATGACCCGGAGCCTTGTGAATGTCCACAGCCTGGGCTCCCAAACTCTGGAGGATACTATGCAGACTAAAGTTAGACATATGAAGGTCTTCCCTGAGAGGCCTGGATAGGCAGCTGTTGAAGCTGGAGGAGGGCAGTAAGGGAGAGTCTGCCATGTCAGGGTAGGCGGATTGACAAGAAGACCTCTTGGTTTGCAGGTTCAGGAATCCAACACAAACGTACTCCTTAACAAACACAAGGCCAGCCGCTGAAAGGGCAGGATGGGAGCCAAGGGACCTGTGCACACACACGCAGCCGCTGCATCTTCCTGCATCCCTAGCATGACTTGGCACAGCCTGGCCTGAGCCTGTCCTCTCCCTTATGCCTGGGCAGATGCCTGGGGCTGTGAAGGGGAAGGCCTCTCTAGGGCTTGTGCCTGCAAGGTCCAGAAGAGCCAGGATGGAGAAGGATGCTGGATGAGTGTGGGAGCCCTGCAGCAAGGATGAGCACAGAAGTGGGGTACTGGCCAAGGCAGCGAGGATTTGTCCTAAGGATGGGCATTCCTGGCCTCCTGCTCTAGGCCAGAGCTAGAAGGGGCCTAAGTGGGCCCAAGCACCAAGAGGAGAAAGGTGAGGCCAGTGGGGCCGGGCATCTGTGTGTTGATAATAAAGTTTTGTGTTGAGATCAATGTGTCTGACTGGTGCATCTCCAGACCCTTGGGGCAACCTTGCCCCAGGTCTGATAGGCAAGACTGATCTTGCGCCTCAAAAGCCTGTTTGTCTTGGAAAGTCAGTGACTGTTCTCCAGGGCTTCCAGTCTAATGGGAGAGAGAATCTGCACCCTGAAAATTTCTGTCTTAATGGTAGAGATATAATTCCTGTCCTTAGGGTCCTAAATTTTGGGGGTGAAAGTCTGGTCCTCATAGTTGGGATCCCCTGTCTGATGAAGGAGATAGCCCTACCCTCTCCTCTCTCTCTCTCTGAAGGTGGAGGAGACTGGTCCTAATTCTGAGGAGCCCTAGTCTGATGGGCTTGATTGACCAAGTCATGCAGTTACAGGCAGCTCCATCCGGGCAATGGAGAATGAGTGGGCAAAGGGTGGGTCCTGGCAGGCTCTCTGGAGGAGAGGTGCACTGGAAGAAGCTTGCTGGAAGACAGCAGGAGGAGTTTGTGGGTCAGGTGAATGAAATCTGGTGGGGAACTTGAGACCTGGGAGGACTCTTTGGGACCCTCACACCAAAGGCCATTGAGAGCCACAGAAGGTTCCTGAGCTAGGCAATGCAGAATATGAGAAAGCTATGGCAGTCAAGGGCAATAGGAAGAGCCTCCTTGGAGGACAGGAGACCTGGATTCTCATCCTTGGGCAAGTCACTGGACCTCATTTTCCCCATCAGTGCGATGGAGAGATGATAAGATTGATCTCCAGCTCTAAAATAACATGGCCAGTTCTCAGGCCGGGAGCTGGGAGACAGATGAGATCAGCCATGTTGCTGAGACTCAGGTTCCCTGGTGTTGTGTGGGAAAGGCTGGAAGGTGCAGAGTTCTGCCCAGCAGTTCAGCAAAGGCTAGAAAGTAGGGTCCTTGGGGATATTCACCAGTTGGAACGGGAATCCCCAGAGGCCCACTGATTGCAGCTGATGGGAAACTCCACCCTCCATCCTCCTCCCGTCAGCATTGGTTCCAGCCCTGAAAAGCCCCCTGGGGCCTGCTAGGAAAGAACCTGGACAACGGGGGACAAGGTGGTATACTCAGCGGGCAAGTGAGAGGTGACACCAGTGCCAGCAGCGCCTCACTGTCTTCAGCTGCTGTCTGTTCCCCTGTTCTGGCCAGGACTCCTTCCCACTGCCCTCCAGGACCATCAACTAGCCGAGCCATGGGCAGCCAGTGGCTTTTGCTGCTGCTATTTGTTGGGGATGGAGCCCTCAATCTGCCTGGTGAGTAGCCACATATACCTTTCCCATCTATCCTTCTCTGGAGGCTCTCAGAGCCCCACTTCTGGCTGGTCAGAGAGGGGAGGAAGGGGGTAGAAGATTAGATAGTATCCCCAGGAAGATCTTATAACATGAGCACAGCCATCGCCCACCCCACCCCTAAATTGTCTGAAAGGCTTGGGGCACCAATAAGTTTGGAGGTAGGAGCATGACAGATGACCTCCAAGGGACTTCAGGCTTTGCCCATCCGTACTCTTCCGGGATGCGCTCTGTCTGTCTACTCCCTCCATTTTGTCTGTCACCTCAGCTGTCTCCGCCTTTCTGTCTGTCCTTTCCATCTGGGCCAGGCCAACAGCTTAGGGTTTCAACAGGCTAGTTCCCACCCAAGGTGGCCCAGAACTGAGGGCCCAAGGGCTTGGACCTCCGCTGTCCTCCTCTCCCCTACTCCAGCAAAGAGCAACCGCCACCTCTAATGCCTCACTGAGCCTGAAGTTGGAGTGCAGTGCTGGATCCTGAGCTCCTAGGAGAGTATGGGGGAAGATACTGGGAGATGGCAAGAAATTGCCTGTCTCATCTCTCCCATAAGTCCATGACTTTTTCCAGGGACAGAAGTTTCCTTGGCAAAGCACCCAGGAAGCAGATACCAATTTTGATGAGAGAAGCAGAAGGGGATAATCATTACCAAGAGCAGATTCTACTTATTGAGCACCTACTATATGCTAAGCCCTGTGCTAAGTGCTTCACGTGCATTATCTCATTTAATCCTCATGACCATCTGTGAAGTGGGTACTATCATCATCCCCGTTTTACAGTTGAGGAAGCTGAGGCTCAGAGTCATGAAGTGCTTTGTCCCCCATCACAGAGCTGGGATTCTATCTCAGATCTGACTTCAGAGCCCAGGCCACACACCTCATTGCTTCTCAAAGGAGCTGTTGTGTCCAGAATATCTCAATATCATAAAAATATCAAATTCTCACCAAATCTGTAATTGTGGCACACTTTTCAATCAAAATCCCAATAGGATATTTTGTAGAACTTGATAAATGGGTTCCAATATATGTAAGGAAGAACAAAAGGCCAACAATAGCCAAAATAATTTTGAAGAGCAAGATGGGAGACTCACCCTAACAAATACTGAGATTTACATTAAAGTAAATCTGGTGTTGGTGCAGAGAAGTGAACCAATGGAATGGAAAAGCATGGAAATTGGTCTGGATACATAATGACAGGTAGCATGATGAATCAGTGGGGAAAGGATGGACTTTTCCATAAGGGGGCAGGGACAACTGGTTAACTACATGGAAAAAACACAAAATCACATCCAATGGAAACATCTCTCCTTGCAAATAAAAATTTGAGACGCTGTAACAAGACATCTGTTCATTTCAGCCTGGACTTTTGTTGCAAACCCACCCATGTATCACCAGAGTTTAGAGGACTCCTGGGATATTGAGCCAAGTCCCTCACTGTGCTGAGGGGGACATGGAGGCACCGAGAGAGGTGGGGCCTCTCTCCTGGACAGCTCTCCTGCCCTACTGTGACCCCTTAACTCTGCCCAAGGCTAGAAGAAAGTAGCATATGGAAGGAGCAGGTGCCAGACAGGGGCAGGGGTAGGGACAAAGGTCAGTGCCTCTTCAGAGCTAGCTTATGGGAAGGAGGAGCTCACCACCTGGGCTGGGTCACCTTGAGTTTCCTGAATTAGTTCTTTGATAACTGCCAAAAATGCAAGGACAGGGCATCAGGTGATGGACCTATTTCTGCCCATTGCCCAGGGGAAAGAGAAAGATTTCCAGGATCCAGCTCAGTGTACCTGATTTGAACCTTTCTCTCTGGAGAGAATGGCTGGCTCGGTCATGAGAATGAAGCTGTTTTTGCGAGGCTGTGCAGTGCAGCAGGGAAGACATTGGGCTCTGGGGTCTCATGGACCACGTACCAAATGCAGTGGCACCACTTCCTGGCTGTGTGACCTTGCACAGGTGTCTTCGCCTGTCTGAGCCTCAGTTTCTTCATCTGATAAATAAAAATAATTATCTTTACTTCAGGTTGGATGTGAGGATTCAATGCGCCATTGCTTATGGGTTGGAGTGGCACCTTACTCAGACAAGGTGAAAATCGAACAATGACAAACTATCCTTGACTGCTATTGCACTAAATGAAGTACTTGGCTTGCAGTTGGGGGTCATTTTCTACAAAAAAGCTGTATATCTTTAAATATGAGAATCATATTCAATGCAGTAGGAAACTTACACCAAAAAAAGCATCAAGAAACCAGAGACTGTTACCAAAAGTTCAGTCTCTGAATCCGGTGCCAATCCAAATAACAAGAACAGAGTCTTGGGTGAAAAGGAAAAAGAGCTTTACTTTCTTTACCACGTAAGGGGAGCTAGCAGCTGGCTAGTACCTTGAGAACTACTGGCTCCTCGTTAAGAAATGGGTAAAGAGTTTTAAAGGTTTGCAAGGAATGGGGTGGGGGAGAGCCTGTGACCTTGCTGGTCAGTGTTTTCCCCCAGCCTGCATTTGGCCTTGTGAGGCTGTTCCCAGGGAGGAGGGTGACGAGATAAGGTGGACGTCCTTGGTAGTCTGTCTCCGTGGTGGATTCCAGTGTCAGGAAGCCAAGGAGTTGGGGCCTGGGAAACTTTAGCTTCTTGATATTCTCTGGACATTAGTTTTGCTGTAATAAACTTCAAGGACCAGTGATGAGCCAAAACTTTAGTGTGAGTCAACTTTAGTGAGGCCACCTGGGCTTTCACAATTTGTAACTTCAATTTGGTTGTAAAGCTCAGGGAGTCAAAGTTTAAAGAAACAGATATATACACATGAGTGTAACTAATGAAGCTGGGAAAGGGGATGGGTGCTCTTGGTTTTAACCCCATACATGCTGAGTTTAATGTAGGGGAACCCATATCAGGGCCTCTATTAATTAAAAGCCTACAACAAGGGGCCGGCCCTGTGGCCGAGTGGTTAAGTTCGCACGCTCTGCTTCAGTGGCCCAGGGTTTTGCTGGTTTGGATCCTGGGTGTGGACATGGCACTGCTCATCAAGCCATGCTAAGGAGGCGTCCCACATAGCACAACCAGAAGGACCTACAACTAGAATATACAACTATGTACTGGGGGGCTTTGGAGAGAAGAAGAAGAAAAAAAAGATTGGCAACAGATGTTAGCTCAGGGCCAATTTTTCTAAAAAAAAAGAAAGAAAGAAAGGAAAGAAAGCAGAGACTAAATGCAATAACAGATTTCTGCCTTTTGCTGACTCTCCTTCTCGGACAATCATCGAGGCGAATGAGACATAGTTGCCAGCTCTAGTTAAACCCACTCTCCCTGGCACGCATTAGCTGAGATCTATTAGCACAAAGCTGGCACATAAATGAATGCGAGCCAGTAATAATGGAGTTGGTATTGATATTATTTTTATTGAATCTTCCAATAAGGATACTTGGTAAGTGAGAACATCTGAGAATCTGGATTGGTGGAGGGAACAGGTGTATTAGTTTCTCTTTGTTTTTGTTTTTACAGGCATTATTACAACCTGGGGGATGGAGTCAGATACAACAGCCTCCACAAAAGTCTCTGCGCCTAAGGGAACTGTAGATTCATCCACAACTTCAGCTCTGTCCAAGAATGGGAGAGACAACGACCCTACAGTTCCACCTCATACCTCACCAGCAACCAGGAGGACAACAGAGTCTGAGTCCCAGAAGCATACACCAGCTACTCCTCTGACTTCACCACTAGGCAGCAGCTCCGCCGGGTCCACTGAGCAGACAACCCAGGACATGAGGCTCAGGAGGAGAGATTAAATACAACTTTCACCACAACCCCCAAGGGCACAACACTGTCAAATTCCACGATGACTTCTCTGTTGAAGGACCAGGGAGGGACATCCAGAATCACGGCCTCATCCAGCATGGCCACTTCAGCTGAGACCCCGAAACAAAATCAGAGAGCTCCAACTGCAGCCGCATTAGCATCAAGCTCCATAGTCAATGGATTGGAATCATCACTGTGCACTTACTCACAGAAGTCAGCCACTATCACAGCTGCAACAGCATTAAACACAGCAGGCAATGATGTTACATGATCAGGGTCCATGACAGCCACTGTCTCTGAGGAGTCAGCTACAACAATATCCCCAACCACATTGAACAAAATCACTGAGGCAAAAGAATCTCTACCCGTGACAACCAGTGCAGTTATCTGCACCACTTCACTAACCATGACCACCCTGGGGACAACTGGTGTTGGAACAACCATGTCTGGAACTCAGGAAGGGGAAACTACAGCTGCGCCTCCAACCCCAGCAACAGCCCCCACGATGAGAACGCTGTCTGAAACACATCACAACACCGCCACACAGACACCTTCCCATCTACTGGAATCAGCCCCAAGTGCTGGCACTGCAACAGCTCAGTCACCTGAGACAACAGCTGCTCATTCAACAGCCCGTATCCTCAGCTCCTCAGGGACAACAAAATCCTCTGCCAAGACTGGGGCCAGTCAAGCTTCCCCTAAACACACCCAGAGCAGTAGTCCCAGAGCAGGAGTCTGTACTCTGGATGAGTACCCAGCTAGCAGGGGTGTTTGTATGTGCAATGACAGCTACTACGCTCACTCAGGTAAGTCTGAAGGAACTCATGTCAGTACAGCAAAGAAGAGATGGGGGCCAGAGCGGACCTCATAAATCTGTGAAGGCCCAGAGGAATGTGCGTCCAAAGGGTACGGGAGGGCTCGTGAGGTTGATCAGACACTAACACCTAAAGAGTCCATCCTGGGGCTGGCCCGGCGGCGCAGCAGTTAAGTTTGCACATTCTGCTTTGGCGGCTTAGGGTTCACTGGTTCAGATCCCTGGTGCAGACATGGCACCACTTGGCAAGCCATGCTGTGGTAGGCATCCCACATATAAAGTAGAGGAAGATGGGCATGGATATTAGCTTAGGGCCAGTCTTCCTCAGCAAAAAGAGGAGGATTGGTAGCAGATGTTAGCTCAGGGCTAATCTTCCTCAAAAAAAAAAAAAAAAAAGAGTCCATCCGGTTAGAGGTGATGTCTATGAGAGGACAGGCAACTGCGCATATGAGTTTGTTTTAGTCTGTTCAGGCTGCTATAACAGAATACCATACACTGGGTGGCTTATAAACAACAGAAATGTCTCATGGTTCTGGAGGCTTGAAGTTCAAGATCAGGGCACTGGCTGATTCAGCGTCTGGTGGGGGTCCCCTGCCTGGTTCATAGACAGTTATCTTCTCACCGTGTCTTCACATGGTGGAAGGGGCAAGGGAGCTCTCTGAGGTCTCTTTTATAAGGTCACTACTCCCATTCATGAGGGCTCAACCCTCATGACCGAATCAACTCCCAAAGGCCCCACCTCCTGATACTATCACATTGGGCGTTAGGATTTAACGTATGGATTTCGGGAGGACACAAACATTCAGTCTGTAGCAGAAGTGGAACAGACAATTCATCGACCCCCAACCCCCAGGACTCCAACTGCTGGCCAGAGATTAAAACTTCCTCAAGAGAGGAGTTGATAATCTACCAAAGACAAAGGCTGTAGCGCCAGCGGAGGCTTGGAGGGCTAGGCAGGGAAACTGAGGCAGAAATCTTATTGTTGGGGCAAGACCAGTGTGGCAGATATTTCAGAAAGCCGGAGTTCACAGGGCCTCCCCTAGGTGCTGCAGCAATCTCCCAGGCCCACACGCTAGCCGCATGGAAGCTGGGTCCTGGGAACCGAAAAGATGATGTTGTCCCCCCGACATGTCCTCTACAGTCAAAATAATTCTAACTCCCCCAAAACATTTCAATTTAACAAAATCCCGATTTTCCTAAAATGACTGCTCTGCTGTTTTAAATATCAAATTCCTTCAAAAAATATTTCTTTGGCATTCCTGCTTTGGTCTGTTGGATGATCCAGCCTTGGGATAAAGCTTCTCTTACATTCAAAACTAAGCAGTGCTTACTGTATGGACCAGTATTTTCCAAAATGTATTTTGTGGGACGCCAGTGCTATGGGATTTCAATAGACATTACACTAAAAAAAAAAGGGTTCTGTTGTCAAAAAATATATTTGGGAAACACTGGATTAAACAAAACTGCTTCTTGACTGCAGGACTTTTCAGAGCCTTCAATATTTAATATTCCACTGTCCACTGTGACTTTTAAGTCAGATTTTGAAAGCAGATTGTAGCGGGAGTTTTCCAGGAGTGTCTGTCCCCAGAATCCTCCTTCTGAGGAACATTAATGTAGCCCCTTGGAATATACCCTGTTGCAGAGGAGGAGAATTCAGATGAGAGCTGAGTGGGGCTGGGTGAGATAGAAGTGACTGGGATGACCCGTCCAGCCCGGGGGCATTTTAGTCAAACCCTGGGTAGGTATTGGCTCATTAGAGGGTTGTCCCTACCTATCTCAACCACCTCTCTTGGTGAGATGGGGGTTACGTGCCCACTTGTAAAACGCTGCATGTGTCCCTCCACAGGAAATATAAAGTCTATGCTTGTGTTTTCATGCACTGAGGATGAGCCAGCTTTTCTTTCTGTGTTAATTTGTTCCCCTGTGAGTAAACAGGGACTCTGCAAGATACACTGTCTGGGTTTGAACTATGCTTCCTTTTCTTCTTCCGGGGATAATAAGAGCACATGTACCTCACAGCATTAATGTTTGAGTATTAGCTATTGTTAATGTTATCATTTGGCGCTCCGTATCACAATATGCTATGGATTACAATAGCAGAAATTTCTGTGATTGACTTCAGCTCCCCCTGCAACACACACTGGTACAAAGCATCTGCCCTTGAATTGCAGCCCGTCACTCTGACCAAACACGCCTGCCAAGATATAAAGAGTGAGCTTTTTAAAAGAGCAAAGGAAAAGAAATTTTTACATTCAAAGTAATGAAACAAGTCCAGAAATGTCTTACGCTACTATTTCCGCTCCGTTTTCCTTTTTAACGGCTAATTTTTAAGCAGGTCATCCCAAATTCAATAGAAAGTGTGGAAACAGCAGGCACAGAAAGAAGGGGTGAGGGTTAAGTATTAACCTTCTCATTCAACACCAAAAAAGCACTCGTGTTGGACATTTAGCAGGACACCTTGTGGTGCTGGGGCAGAAAAGCAACTCTAACTGGCTTGAGCAAAACAAACAAACAAAATTGAAAACATGAAACAAAATAAAACAAAATTTGTTGGCTCATGAAACTAAAATGTCCTAAAGAGGACGTGAAGACTGACCTCTCTCCCTCATGGCTCTCAAAGGCGCCCCCTCCCTCCCCTCCCTCGGCCTGTCTTTCTCAAGTTCAGGCTTTTACGAGATAGAGCCACTGACTGAAGCAGTTTAGGCCCCTCCAAAACCCCCAAGGCCCAGGCTACGTATTGGAATGAGAGGGAAATCAAAGAACAAAACAAATCAATACCTCCAAAAATAATCTTGCCAGATAAGTAACAGAAACCAATTGGGCTGGCTAAGGGAAAACAGGAGAACTCATTATAAGGGTGTCTTGTGGAGGCCAAGGGTAGGCTCCAACAAGGATGTCCAGGGACTGGGACTTGGAACGGTGGATATGGCAGGAACCAGGAAGTCGCTTCTCTCTTCTCCATCTTGCTCTCCCCATTCTGCACCTGCACCTGCTTTGTTCCTCTCTCCACACACTGGTTTGTCCTACCTCTCAGCCCACGTGACCGAAAATTGCTGCCTCACAATACTCACGATTTATACTGCCTCCTTTTAGGCTCAGTTCCTGGGAAAGAGATTCTGAGTGGATCGGTGAAGGCCAGGGATCAGGGTCCCCCAGTGCCATCATGGTGTGGGCGTCTCACCTCCTGTGAGGGGACTCTGTTTCAGGGAGTCATTGTGGGTTGGGCTAGTATCCCCAGTGTCTCTTCCACCCGGATTAGAACTAGTATCCCTTCCCATAACATTGTCCCAGGAGCCTCAGGAGGCCCCTGTCCTGGCTGTTGTTCTCCTGCAGAACTGTCCACGTTGTTGGTGGCTCTGCACTGCCAGCCGCAGAAAATTGAGGTGGTCCTGATCAGCTGCTTCCTGAAGACTCACCACTGGAACTTCTCAGGTGCCTTCTCAGGATGCTCCAGTGTCAGCAAGATAGAGGAAGGTCACCGCGTCCAGGTCTTCAGAATGGAGAAGAAGGAGGTCAACTTGTGGACTCCACCTCTCTGTAAGCAAGCTGGGGGGACCACCTGATAGGAAGAGGGGATAAGTGGTGGTGTGGGGGGCCTGGGAAATGAGCGATTGGCCTCAGCGACCATTTCCATCTGACTGAGGAATAATTCTCCAGAATGGAGTCAAGTCTTCGCCATCAAACCAGTCTTTTTTTGGGGGAAAAGACCATGTTGTACCCCATCAGACTGGGACTGCCCTTATAGATGGTGCCATGTTTGATGGACTGGGATATTGGTTTCCAAATCTGTCAGCCACAGAACCCTTTAAAATAATCACAACCATTGGGGCTGGCCCCGTGGCCGAGTGGTTAAGTTTGCGCGCTCCACTGCAGGTGGCCCAGTGTTTCGTTGGTTCGAATCCTGGGCGCGGACATGGCACTGCACATCAGACACGCTGAGGCAGCGTCCCACATGCCACAGCTAGAAGAACCCACAATGAAGAATACACAACTATGTACCGGGGGGCTTTGGGGAGAAAAAGGAAAAAATAAAATCTTTAAAAAAAAAAATAACCACAACCAAAACCAATATTTATTAATTTCTTACCATGTGCCATGCGTCAAAATCTTTTTTGCATGCATCATCTCATTAAATTTTCACAATAGTCCTGTGAAGTTCCCATTTTACAGATGAGCAATCTTAGGCTCAGAGAAGTTGAGAGATTTTCCCAAGTATCACAGCTAGCTCTTAACAGAGCTGGTTTGTGCTCCTGACTACTCACCAGTGCTGCTGCCTCCTTTCTTTGGAAGAGAGCTTACACAAAAGCCGAATATAAACATAAATATAGAAAAACAGAGCTGTTTTGACTGAATGGGGGAGGAAGAAGATCGCCTCACTGGGTTAGCTGTCCCCCCAACACCTAAGTGGGCGGTTACGCCCCTTTAAGGAGGCCCTGGGTCCCACAGGCTCAGTTTGAAAACTAGAGTTTGTCCTAAAAGGGTGATTTAGTTCCTTTCAGTGTTTACCGTTATCTCTAGTTTTGCCACACAGAGCTTCATGGGGTCTCTTGCTTAGGTCCTGGAACAGAGTTGGCAGTTTCAACATGCGATAGGTAAGTCCATGGCTATGCCCCTAGAAATCTCTATCAGTGTTCTTTTTAATAAAGTGCTTTATTTACAGCAACAAATCTTTTGATTCTTTTAAAAGATCCTGAGGAAACAATAAAATACCAAAAAGATATCCAAATCTTGGGCTAGGGATCAGGACGTGGCACTTTTAAGAAGCACCCCAATGCTTACTCTTTTATTTTTTTTCCAAGGGATTCTAAGATGTACACTGAAATTTGAGAACCACTGGCACAGAGGTTAAGAACACGGGCTCTGGAATCAGAGAGATGTTGAATTCTGGCTCTTGTACTTGCTCTGGGCATCTTTTAACTTTCTAAGCCCCAGTTCGCTCTTCTGTAAAATGGGACTAATAACAGAATCTTCCTCAGAAAGTTGTGGTTAGGCAACGGCACCTGGCATACAGCCCATGCTTAGTAAACTTTAGCCATTGCTTTTAAATAAACCACTTGCAGCCAACAAGTATGGGCGAAGGTTTCCCCTGGAGATCTGAGGGTAACGGCCCCTCCCTGTCTTTTCTAGACCAACAGCAGCCACGCCCTTTATTCTCTGGAGGTGCAGCTTCTGCAGGTTCTCCCTGGCTTCACCAATACTGACTTGACGATGCTGTGCTTAAGCTGCACGTATCCTCTGGTGGTGAATGTCAGCCAGAGCGACCCTTACCCAGTGGTCTCCTTCCTGTCAGTTCTGCTCTATCTCCCTCTCAGGCTGGGCCCTGCGGAAACTCCTGAGTTCCTAGTGCTACCTCAAATCCAGGCAAAAGTGGTCAAAACCCTCAGGATGTTGGCCTCCCCATGCTCACCCCACTAATCATAGGTACCTCTTAGACTGAGACTCAAAGCATTAGTGGAAGAAAAAAGATGTTTCTATGACACAATTCATTATGGATTGCTTATATAAATGGAGTAGGATGGCTTGGATGGCTTCAAGGCGCTAGGTCTGGGGATCAGTGAGGTGGGCCCTCACTTTTTAGGAGGTCCCGGAGGCAGGTTAGCAGATTTGCTCCTCTCCTCCCCTTATTCTCTATGGCTACCAGTGCTCGTGACCTTGGGTGCAAGGCAGAAGGTGAGTGAGTGTCCCTCCCTCTAGGGTGTTGTGGTGAGGGTCTAACTCCTATCCCTTTCCAGATATATCACCATCCATGTTCCAGGCACTGGGGACACCATCGTCATCCTGGGCATCTTCACGGACCCTCAGCTCTCATCTCCACTTGGGAACAGACCAGCTCCCCTTGGCAAGCCTCTCTACGTGGTCCTCAGAGCCACAAGCAGTGATCCAGACAGATTTGCCCTTGTGGCCAATGAGGTCTTTGCCAGCTCCAACATCTCCAGGATGGGTACTGTTAAGGACACCTACCACTTTGTGAAGGAGAGGTAAGTGTCTATAAGGCCTCAGTAACATCCTGCCAGTGCCATATTATCTTTTGGACTGTGGCTTGTGCCAGGTGCTTTTGTACCCATGTGCACAGATCCTGTCACTCCTCTCTGTATCCATGGTACCTAAGCACTGGGAGAAGGTACATGCTGGGTGAATGTTTATTGAATTAATGCAAGTATTATTATCACTCCCATTTTGCAGATGAGTAAATTAAGGTACAGGGGGATTAACACCTGTCCAAGATTACAGCCAATAAATGACATTCATTCCTTTTTTTCTTTCCTCAAACAATTATTGAGGGTCTACAATGATAAAAGTAAAAAACAAAAACTAACATTTCTGAGTGCTATACACTATGTTATACATTTGACATGCATTACATTTAATAGCTAATCACAGCTAATTCCGACATAGCATTTACTCCATGCGTGGCACTGTTCGAATCACTTCACATATATTAACTCATTTAAGCCTCACAACACACTGTATGAGTGTTATATGTTTATTCCCATTTTATAGATGGAGAAACTGAGGCTCAGTTCACATAGTTGGTAAGTGGCAAACCTTGCTAAGTGCCGGAGACATAGAAATAAGTAAGACTAAGTCCTTACCCTCAACAGCTCACCATCTAAGGAAGTAGCTGGGTCTCCTGACTTCTAGGTTGTATTTGATTAATGTTAACAACAAGTCTTCACAGAGCACAGTGAATCATTAATTGCCTCATTTATTTTTGAAAACAACCTTCTGAAGTATTATTTCCTCCACTGTATAGATGAGGGGATTAAAGAGGGGTTCAGAGAGTGTAAATGACTTAACCAGACACGCTGTTGATCTATTCATGGTCCAGAGTCCAGGTTCTGAAACACCACCAAATCCGCCCTAGCATGTAATTCCTCCTTTGTCAGGAGGAAATAGAACCTACTGATTAAGGGTATGGAGCCAGGCTGCTACCTGAAGAAACTTGGGCACCTGACTTAACCTCTCTGAGCCTCAGTTTCCTCATTTTTAAAAAAGAAAGGGTCCATCAAGGGGGAAACTAGAATGGACTTATTGATGGTGAACTTGAGCCCTGGAATAAAGGCCCTGGGGTAAAAAGGCTAAATGGGATTTGAAGAGTACAAGAGGCAGAGATCAGAGAGGTAATTCCCTAATACCTACAGGAGGCAGCATCTGTGTGGACAGGTAACTTGGTGGGAAAGTAATTTGCTGTCCCTTAGGTTTTTGCATTGGCTGGTTTCTGTTCCTGGAACCCACAACTCCCTGACACTCACATGGAAAACTCTCATCTCCTTTAAGTCGTTGCTAAAATGTCACCATTTCAATGAAGCCCACCCCACCCATGCTATTTAAAATTGCAAACTATGTTCCATTCATCCACTCTAGATCCCGATTCCTTTCTTCTATGTACTTATCACCTCCTAACTGTACACTGTATCACACAAGATCATTTATTTTTAAGTTAGTTATTGTCCGTCTCCCCTCACCCACAAGAGAATAGGAGGTTTTGCTCTGTTTTATTCACTCATGTTCCCTAATTCTCCTAAGCACCTAGAAAGGAGCCTATGTAACAGTAAGAATTTCTTTCTGCCCGTGGACCCTACACCACAGGCCTATCCAAATATTACCAGTTATAGTGAAAGAGTTACATTTAGGTTATTGTCATCTCAAAAAAAGTTACTGTGACAATAGTGTGGACAGTTCAGACCCTTAGCTCTGAATCCTTTAGCTCAGAATTTTCCATGTCTGTCACGGTTTGCCATCAATCCCTACATTGTCACCGGTAACTGAGTTTTCCTTTTTCAATTTGGAACAGTTATTGCTAATAAGGAATCACTGATAAACTAGGCTCAGTCAAGAAATAAACTTTAGGGACCAGGCCGGTGGCCAAGTGGTTAAGTTCATGTGCTCTGGTTCAGTGGCCCAGGGTTTCATCAGTTCAGATCCTGGGCGTGGACATGGCACTGCTCATCAAGCCATCCTGAAGCAGCATCCCTCATGCCACAACGAGAAGGACCAACAACTAAAAATACACAACTATGTACTGGGGGGCTTTGGGAGAAAAAAGGAAAAATAAAATCTTAAAAAAAAAAAAGGAAACAAACTTTATTGAAAGGAAAGAGACTTAGAAAAAGAAAAAAATAAAATGAAAGTGAAGAAAAATAAAAGGTCATCTCACCTTGAATTTACTAGCACCACACTGTCAAAATAATAATAGTGAGGAGGAGGAGGGGAAGGAGAAGAAAGGAAAAGAAAGAGGAAGAGAAAAGATGTTAAAAGAAAAAAAAAGGAAGAGAAGAAAGGGGAAAGAAGGGAGGGAAAGTATTGTCTTCCTTCTAGGATTGATCTGAGGATGAAATGAAATAATGCAAGTAAAGTTCCCAGCGCGAAACCCAGCATCTACACCCATACAGGACAAGCAGAAAGGGGGAAATCACTGTTTGTCCATCCACACCGTGGCCCCGAGCCGGGGCTCCTAACAGTTGACGACGCTGCCTCTCCCCACAGCTGCCCAGTCAGCAGCCAGCTGCTCCAGGGCCTGGGGGCCAACGGGGTCTCTCTAGAGGTGACGCCGGCCTTCAACCTGTTCCGCTTCTTGACCAGCGATACGCTCTACCTGCACGGCCGAGTGACTCTGAGCGACAAGCGGGCGGGGCGCCCGTGCCAGCCGGTGAGCGGGCAGCCCCGGGGGCCCACACCCGTCGCCGCAGCCTGTGCCTGCCGGGCAGCTCCGGGGTGCCGCGCCGGCGAGCCACCTCCCGGCAATGCCGGCATCCTGGGGGCGGGACTAAGGCGGTACCTGGGGGACAGCGGTGCGGGGGATTGGCCTAACCTGCCGGGGGCGTGGCTTGTGGGGGTGAGGAGGCTGGGGTTGACCTAAAGGGCGGGATCTTGGTGAACGGCCTGCATCTACCTGGGGCCTCCTGCATAGGCCCGCCCGAGGTCGGGGGTCTTGTCACCCTTATGCTCGTGTCCCCACAGACCTGTAGTCAGAAGAGTCCGCCCGGGAGGAATCGAGCCTGGGAGATCCGAGAGCCGGAGGGCATGGAGAACAGAGCCCTCTGGATGGTGTTCGGGCCCATCCGAATAAGCGGTAACTGGATCATTTGGGGGCCTCCCTGACTTGTCTTCCAGAGCCTCCCACTGACCTGCTCAGAGACCCCGACCCTTCACTGAGCCCCCTCCTCCCTTCATGCCCTCACATTCTTTCCTAAATCCAAGTCTCCTCCCCAAGCCCATATCCTCCTCGGCTCCCCCTTGGCTTTCCCTGGACTCCCCGTCTGCTCAGGAGAGGTCCCCTCCCCTCACCCGGTCCTTTCTGACTTATTAAACTTATTAAACTTCTGGTCTGAGTTGTCTCTGCTTCTCTCCTCCCACCTTTCCTGCCACACCAGCTCACTCTTCTCCCAGTCTGTTTGTCCCTTGTGACAGCCTGCCTTTGTAAATCCTCCTTGCTGGTCTGAACAGTCTCTCCCTTCTTTCTTCCATGACAGTCCTCCAAAACTCCAACCCTCATGGGAAAACCTATCTCCTTAGTAAGTCCATTCTTATTAGAGGCAGAAGGTTCGTCATCACACCCTTCTGAGTCCCAGCTTCAACAAGTGGTCAGCGCTTTTGCCCAATCTTGAAATGATGGGAACATGCTGGCCTTGTCCTGTCAGGATGGCTCCTCAAGCTCAATTTTTCTTTCTATGTGGTTTTAGAGTCCAATGCCTCCAGCAGCAGGAGTTTGGCAGGTTGGTACACAGGATCGCTGTGATGAAGTTCTGGTGGTTGCTCCAGGGTCTGCAGGTGCACATTGGGTTCTGGCAGGTGCTGGTCTTGGATCCTGTCTCTGCTCAACTCTATGACTTAGGAGAAGTCAGTTACCCTCTCAGAGTCTCAGCTTCCTTGGCAGTACACGGCAGAGTTGTCATTGTGGAGTGGTTGTCAGTCATAGAGTTTTATACCTCATCAGAACCCGAGACTATCCAGAAATAAATTAGAGTAGGGACTGAAATTTCAAGATACAGGCCAGGCAGGTAACAGCAAGTGAGGGGGATTGAGTGGGGTCCACATTGAACTAGAGAGTGCATTTCTTTTTTTTTTTTTTACATTTTATTTTATTTTTTTGAGGAAGATTAGCCCTGAGCTAACATCTGCCAATCCTCACCTTTTTGCTGAGGAAGACTGGCCCTGAGCTCACATCCGTGCCCATCTTCCTCTACTTTCTATGTGGGATGCCTACCAGAGCATGGCTTGTCAAGCGGTGCCATGTCTGCACCCGGGATCCAAACTGGCGTGGAACGTGTGCACTTAACCGCTGTGCCACTGGGCCAGCCCCTAGAGAGTGCATTTCATCTCTGTATCTCCATCTGCCTCACCCCTAATCTAACCGAGGGACTGGCATAGTCAGTCCCAGGATAGCTTTGTTGAAGGAATGCAGGAATGGATTACTAAATAATCCCCCAAAGTGGAATATCTAAGCCTAAAAAGTTTCCCAGGCTCCCAGAGCCTCCTAATCCTGTTTTATAATGATTTCTTTCTTTCCTGCAGGAATCTGGATTCCTATATTTCTTCTGATGGTGATAGGCTGGATGCTGGGTTAAATCCTACCCAGACAGCTCTCCCAACTCTAGCCCTTGGCCTCTAGTTTAGATGCCTGAGGGAAGGGTGGGTTGGAGGAAGAGTTAGGGAGAGGCAAGTAGTCTGTCCTCTTGTTAGGGACCAGAGAGGCTGGAGGTGAAGATGGAACCCATGTAGGACACAGCTACTGTCTGGAAGGAGTGTGGCCACTGAGCCTGGAGCTCTGCGTCCTCATCCCACCTTCTCTTCCCATCTCTGAAGCTCTTCCAAGGGATTGGGCCCCTCGATATGGTTGGGGGCAGGGCAGAAGGTATGGCCAATAAACAGGAGGGAATTCTCCTACTTTGACTCCTTTCCTGTGTAATCTGACTCCAAAGCTTCATCGCTTTGAGAAATGGGGTATGTGTGGGAGTGTATGTGTGAGAAGTCACTTTATTCTCTATGCGTTCAGTTCCCCCATAGGTAAAATGAAAGAGTTTGACCAGATGATCCCTGCTTCAACATGGGGACTCTGTGACTCTTGTTTCAGGGACAGTTCCTGGGCTTTGGCCAGCTGGTCCTAAGTCTCCTTCCTTCTGCAGAATGGGAAAGAGCTATTCAATTTCAGAATTAAGATTAAATGTATCCATATAATATTATCCTGACCATTAATTATTTCTAATCTCATTAACTGCCCCCCTTCCTAGCAGAGGGTGGATTTAGGCAGCAGTGTTTTTGCTACTATCATTTATTCATTCAAAAAATGGGTTGGGGGGCTGGCTCCATGGTCAAGTGGTTAAGTTCGGGTGCTCCACTTTACCAGCCCAGGGCTTCACCAGTTCGGATCCTGGGCGCAGACGTAGCACCGCTCATCAAGCCATGCTGAGGCAGCATCCCATAAAGCAGAACTGGAAGGACCTACAACTAGAAAATACAACTATGTACTGGGGGGCTTTGGGGAGAAGAAGAAAAAAAAGCTTGGGAACAGACGTTAGGTCAGGGCCAATCTTCACACACACACAAAAGGGTTGGAATCTACTATGTACCAGTTCCTGTGTTAGGCCGTGATGATTCAACAGTACACAAGACACAGTCTTTGACCATACTGAGAGGACAGTTGAGTGTAGGAAGTAGGTGGTATGGACCAGGAAGCAGGACAAGCTTTATAAACTGGCAGAGGTGGCACTTTCACAAAATCACAACAAGGCCCTGTGCCTCTTTTTGTTGTCTCATTTTTGAAATACTACTTTTTTTTTCCTGAAGAAGAGTCACCTTGAGCTAACATCGGTTGCCAATCTGCCTCTTTTTTTCCTTGAGGAAGATTAACCCTGAGCTAACATCTGTGCCAATCTTCCTTTATTTTTTATATGGGTTGCCACAACAGCATGGCTGACACCACGTAGGTCCACGCCCTGGGATCCAGGCCCACGAACCCAGGTGGCCAAGGCAGAGCATGCCGACCTTAACCACTAAGCCATGGGGCTGGCCCTGAAATACTACTTTTTATTGATATCTATGACCATTTTAGAAATCAATTTCTTGGGAAAATATGTTGGTACAAGCAACAAAATTAAAGTTAAATTTAACAGCCTTAATGTTTCATTTACAAAGTTTTCTTGTCATTTAATGGTTTAGCAGCTCCTGAAAAAAGTCAAATGTTAATCTATATTATTTTTTCATATACATCAAAGTCACACATTTATTAAATCAGCATACAATTAATTGCATTTCATTGATAATTCATATTAAATGTATAGGTCTGGACTGTTCAAAGAGTCGTGATGGCAAAGGCATTAACCCTTGCCTTTATTCAAAATATATCCTGAAGGATAAAGGACAAAATATTATTGATGATACAATGCTTAAATATCTCAAAAAGAAAACAGAAGGAAACAAAATTAAGTAAACAAGGAAGTTATTGAACTCACACAGCCTCTGTGCTGTAACAATAGATGTTTATAAAATAAGCTGCCAGACAACACTTAATGCATGTGAAAGTGGTACCTCTCATTATATGATTATAACTGAGATACAGTTAGTTTCTCGTTTCTTTGATGAAATTGGGGTGGGACATATCTGGCTAACTCTAGTCCTTTTTCATTCATGTCAGATGATACTTCCGTTGATATATTTTACTAAAATATGCAGCAAGTCTTTTTAAAATAATAAAGTAACTGAAGATTTAAGAATATCTCATATCTAAAAATTGATTGTATTTGCAATTAGTGCCAAAAGTCTTTGTTAAAATATAAATGAAGAGTCATTCACATTTGGAAATTGGCAGTATCATAATGGAGTTACTTTTAACATACAGATATCCATTGGAGAAAACTGTACAAACGTACTGTTTGCCGCTTGTAAATTTAAATCTCAGCACTTTCACTATGTTTCCAGTCAGATTTCTCTTTCATTCTCTGTATCAGCTCTTCAAATCCTCCCCATTCTTCTCAGTCCTGTTTATGCCCCTGTTCCCTCCCTCCTCACAGGTGCTTCTCCCAAAAGAAATAGAAGCCAGCAAGTGGATGTTTCCACCACCCACCAGTCTACTTCCTACCCCCCAGCCCACAAATTTAATCATTTAGACACCTATTCTTACCATTTATATTTTAACAAAGGCTTCTGGTCCCAATGTCAGAGAATACCCCCTAAATTCATCTATCATATGATACCTAGATTAGATTCAGTATCCATTAAATTTGCTATTTTATGCCTTCTCTTTTCTTACCTTAAAATGTTATGAGATGGTGGGGGGTAGAACTTTGGGCACACCTCCAGAGTCTTTCCTCTAGAGTAAATTTGATCCAGTAATTAACTCTCTTTATATCCGGTTCTTCAAAGTTAAGAAATCACACAACTTTTTAATGCCTCTCCTTCCCAAGTCAGGTTTCCAAATGCCTGGCATTTCATTTCCTTTGGCTGATGGCTTTGTTCCTCCTTTTAAACAATTTCCCAGTCTGATTCTTAAGTATATATTAATGCAGAAAACTTAGTTCCTTTTCCGGGGGACCGAGTTTGAGTAGGGAGGCAAGACTGATCCGTTACTCTTCTACCTGAGTCTGGTCACAGACTGACCACTGGCTCTAACCTGGCCCGAGCCCTAACCCTGACAAGGCAGTGACCCAGGCCACACCCTAACTCCTGGTCACAACTTGACCCATTCCTTCAGGTGGGAGAACTGATAGGTGATGGGGAACGGGAGGAAGGTGGGGCAGACTGGGAGGGATTCCCGAGTGACTTGCCCATGCCGCCAGCGTCTCCGTCTGCACAGGCCCGGCAAGCTGCTCCAGACCTGGGCGAGCAGGGCTCCGCCCAGAGGCGAGACCCGGTCAGCGGCCGTGGAGAAGGCTGCGAGAGGCGGCAAGGTCATGCGCAGAGAGACCCGCCCGCTCTCGGCGCCGAAGGCAGCGTGCAGGGGCGGGACACCGGTGCGGCCCGACTCCTGATTGGTCGCAGGCGGGCAGAAAGGGGCGGGGCCTGGGCGGCGCGCGCTGCGAGGCGCGCGGCCTGGAGGGCGTGTAACGGCCGTTAGGCGAGTTGAGCGACGAAATCGCCGCTCGGGGCCAACGTGGAGGTCGCAGTCGGTGTGTCTGAGTGAGGCATTTCGCCGCCCGCTTTCATGCCCACGTAAGTCCTCCTTGCCTCGGGGTACCCCGTCGGACTGACAGACCCTGCCCCCCTTGGGGAGCCTTGCAGGAGCCTCAGGCGCTCACGACCTATCTCGGGGGGGCGTGGGGGGAGGGAGCGACGAGAGAGCGAAGCGCATGCGCAGAGCGACGCAGCCGTGCCCCCTCGGTCTCACGGTGTGGGCTTCCTGAAATAATGCTCCCTGCACGCCCGCTCGTGTCTCGGTCGCCTCCCGCCCTCACTGCCTTGCTTTTCCTCCCGACCCTCACTCCTCAGCGGTTGCTGGACGTGTGTGAAGGGGAGGCCTGTGCCGGGCGCCAGGGGCCGGCGGGAAGCACGGTCCCTGCCCTGGTGGAGCGCTGGATCCGGGGGAAAAGCAGACGCTCGGCGGCGCCTCCTCGGTCTCGCCCCGCATGTAGGGCGGAGAGGGACAAGGCGCGGACCAGGGCCCGGAGCAGCCCGGGAGCGCGGGGAGCCCCCCGAGGAAGGACGGGTGGAGACCGGAGCCCCTGTTAGGGCCCTCGGCTGGAGTTTCTGAGCTAGCCCCGTGTTTCTCCCCACGCGACATTTGACTGCGTCCGGAGATGTTTTGGGTTATCGCAACTCGGGGATTGCTCCCGGCCTCGCGTGGGTAGAAGTCAGGGGTGCTGCTAAACATCCTGCAGTGTGCAGGACGGCCCCACAGCAAAGACTCACCTGACCCAAAGTGTCGGTAGTGCTGAGCTTGAGGAGCCCTGCTCCAGACAAGGAGGAACTGGGGCTCTGGATGGCCCGAAAGTTTACTGTGTTAAAGCCTGGTTGTTCCATAGAGGGTATTCAGTACCTACTTCATCACAGTAAACCGGGACGATCCGAACCCTGCTTGTGTTTTACACCAGTGTATTTCCACCACAGGGCACAGAGCCAGGAAAACAGGCACGCGGGCGTTAGATTTTGGTTGATGAACCGATTACTGTGTGCTAGGTGGGGATGAATGGTGGTACAAGGATGATTAAGGTAACCGAGCCTCATCACTTGCCCTTAGTT